TGGGTGTGGGTGTGGGTGTGGGTGTGGGTATGGGTGTGGGTGTGGGTGTGTGAGTGTGGGTGTGAGTGTGGGTACGGGTTGGGTGTGGGTGTGAGGGTCTGGGTCTGGGTGTGTATCTTCCTGACGAAAAGAACAGCACCCACACGCACACCCACACCCACACCCACACCCACACCCACACCCACACCCACACCCACACCCACACCCTCAATTTCAACAGTTTAGTACATTTTTAGTCATCAGAAGAAAGGTAAATATTCTTATTCAATGATGGCAGAAACTCTTGTCTAGTGCGTAAACGATACCTAGAACGGTTTCTTTTTATGTTTAAGATCAGATCAGCTCAACAGGCATACATAAAAAAATAGCAGAGAGAAAAAAATTTACATTAAACCGCAGATTATTGGACTATCAAAGACCATGAATTATGAAATTATTCTATCTTCTATTTTCACGCTTCATTAGGCAAGAAAAAGAATTCACACTCAGTATTTGATATAATCAAACATAACACTTTCCTTAGATTAAAAATTTTTCACTGACTCGAGGCCTTTCGAGGATGATATCTTTTTTCGTTTTTATTTTGCGCATCTTCTCATATCTGATTGTTACGTATCATTAGTCAGCAGGATGATGGGTAGAATGAACTGTTGTTGATTATCAACAAGAATAACCGAATGTTGATGATGAATGAATGTCAATTGTTTACGGCCGATACACAATTAATTTCATGCTCATCGATGCCCATTTATTCTTTCGTCGCTTCATTCTTATTTTTATTTTTTTTTTAGGCAGAGAAAATAAGTTTGAATGATGTTCAAAACGACTCATAGATTCGAGAAAAAATGACATGAAACGTACAGATTTTACAAAGGATAGTGCGCCAAGCCTACGCACAGCCGGCCCGAAATATAGCCGCCCTTTAATACGTTCACTGATGATCTGTGACAGTGCCCACAGAACTTAAAACACTGCCATGTCATTCAACTCTACTCGCCGAATACATTTGTCACTCATTCAAATTATTTACCGTACCTTGGTATCAACTGGTATCTTCAATAGAAGTTCGACAATTTTGAATTCTTCTCTCTTCTAATATCTTCCAACTTCGTTTCAGAATATGCATGGATTCGTTCGCCAGGGTCGACATGTAACGATAAAAGGAGAGATGATGTAATGGCAGACTGGAGGAGTAGCTTACCGCCACCCTCGATAATGATGTTTATTAGCTACTTAACATCTCCAGAATGTGTCTATTACACATTCAACACAGTTATATATGACAGAGAAACAAAGAGAGAGAGAGAAAGAGACGACACAGAGACAACAATAGAGAGAGGAAGAGGAAAGAAGAGCAGCGAGCCGTGACACATATATCGGCACATCAATTATCTTTTTTCTCATTCCACAAATGCTTCACAATACATACGCATCTAAGCCAAATAGGTAATCGAAAGAACAAACTAGCTATTCAATTTTAAATTCAATTCATTCTCGAAGATTATTAATTTCCAAACTTACCTGAAGAGATCCTTAAGCAAAATTGACACGATCGTCGTCAGTGGATTCGAATGATCTTCTAAATTCACCCCTTTTAAAGCCACATTCCTATTTTCTGAAGACTAACAATAATGATCGATTCTCATATCAAAGATACGCACTATAATTTATGGTCATGTTCTGATCATCAATACACAGTAATCAGAAATCTAACGTGCTTCGCCGATGATTTCGGTCAAATTGTAAGTCATTTATTTTCGAAGCAGTGCGTCGATGTTGAAACCTCCTGTCTTTTAGATGTGTTTTTCATTTTATAACAAGACAATACTCCGATTGTCTCAAAAAATTGAACATTTGAGTATTCATTTGTTGTAAGTCAAATCAGTTGAAATTCTGCAGCATCAAATTGTGCATGCTGCTCGAACAACATCGTCTGTGCTTGTCTGCCGATGACTATGAATGGAGGAGAATTGTGTATAGATACTGGTGTGTCATGTAAAAGTCTATTTGCGTGTGATTCCGATAATAAGATAAATACAACGTCGCATACTGTGAGGGTAAACAACTCAAGATGTGCACCGAGTTGCGTTAACTTTCCTTTTCATGAAACCTGCTTAAAAGAGCTTATGACTATAATAAGAAAGATCAAACAATAATGAATAATAACTTTATTGCTCAATACTGTGTGTTATTGTTATCGGACTTAACATGATAATCGCTTGATAAACCATAGAAGTTCATCTTTGTCTATCATTTAAAAGAAATCCGTGTTTTGTTCATATCCAAACATTCACCGTCACTACACAAGTTCGTTTTCCTTGATCATATTTAATATTATAGTTTGCATTTCTTTTTGCTAGTTCTTTATCAAACCAATCTGAAACAGTTCGGCGATCTTCTGATGTTTTCATTGAAATCGTCAGATGAAATAGTTTCGGTAAATTTTCCATTAGATATTTGAATGCAGATTTTTGACTTATACTGCATTGAAGAACTTCAACATTGGAAAATGCCTTGCAGACCCTTGATAACTCAGCCTGAGTAATAAACATTTGTGTTGGAATACTCCAATTCATATATAAATCCAATCTTTTGATCATTTTAATTAAATATGTACACAATTCATCGTCCACTAACAATGGCAATAATACAGTTTGGTCGATATACATCGATGATACCTTAGGCGTTTCTTTTAAGATGCTTAATAAAACCGATGGTTTCGCTATCTTACAGTCGGATGAAATGTTTAAATAAGACACACCAGATAAAGTCACACTACGTTTCAAAGATTTTATGTCTTTAGTCTCTAAAATACATTTCTCCGAGATTTCTAATCCTCCAAATGTTAATGAAGTAATTCTGTAAAAATGGCATTCCTTTGGCTTAGGAATTCTTTTTTCTTTTGATGTGAAATCTTGAGTGTCGCTCGAATCCGCTGGCATAACAACATAATGACTTGAATTTGTGTAAACTGCTAATTTACATCGATATAATGGACATGGTATCGTACAAATCCATCTGTTGTCACTGGTTAATAGACATTCTGTGTACCAATTATGAGCTCTATGCCAAAAATCACTTTGAAATTGTTGAAATATCTCCAGGATGTTATCGTCCGCATCCATACTATCACAACTGAATCTAAAATGAAATGTTTCCAGTCGAGGTAATGATGAAGTGATCAAACGTTCCCATCGATGAGCATCAAGAATATTTTGACCAACACCACCAGATATTGATAGACATTTAAGATTAGGTATTAGTTTTACAAACTGTTCAAATTCTTGGAAATCATGATCAAAATCACCTATCACCATGGTTGTTAGATTCGTGGCACAGCAATTTTCATTGCAGATCTTTCTGGATGGATCATTGTTTGTTTTAGAACATTCATGAACATTTAGATAAGTTAATAAAGGCAAGTTGGCTAATAAAATGTGTAGATTGTCTAAATCACATGATGATATTGTTACATTAGTAACTGATGAAAGTACATTGCGATACCAACGAAGCTCACCGAATGAACTTAATGATAGTGTCTTTAGTTTCGATGTTGTCAGGTAAGATAGTACGATATGAACGAATTCTCCACTACCGTTCAAATGAAGCGAAGACAATTCTTTCATTGATGATATAATTGGTTGCAATGGTTGAATGTTTTCGTCCCCAGTGATAGTCAGTTTTAATGAATGCAAATAAGAAAACTCGGTGGTCGAAAGCAATGATGAAAACTTTTTTACTAGATCGCATGAATTCTTGTTTGATAAATGTAATGAAACGATTTTATCTCTGATTTCTGGGTTTTTTAAGATAAGTTTACAAAATCGATCGAATATTGATTTGCGAATATTCGAAAAATCGACATGTAACGTGGCATTTCGAATGAGATGACTAAAACGATGATTCAATCGATCGAATGAATAAAATAACTCCCAAGCATTTAGGTAGGCAAAGCATTGCAACAGGATCTCATTTGGTAACGATTCCAACTTTGTATGGGTCTTGCTTGCTTCACTCATAGTTAACAGAGTAAATGATTTTCATATAAGCAAAATTGCTTCATTATCATGCAGCATTGCGAAATCATTTTGCTTATGACAGAATAGATAAAATTTTGTACACGAGAAAGATAAACATTTACATTGACTTTATATGGTTATTTCGCGAACCAATAGGCATCAAGAAAAATATTTTTGTTTTCTCATAGCTACAAAATGGTACTAGTTCACTTTAGACATAAGCGAGAACAGGAAAGAAAATTTATTTGTTGAAAAATTTAACCAAACGAAAAGAGAGGAACGAAAAAAAGTGAAATAAACGATAAAATTATAGATGGCTCCTATAGACGACAGTGTCATTCAATGAAAAAAAAAAGATAATGAATATATTTGAAATATATCACTGTCATCTATCGTCATCATTTATATAATTTTGATCATTTCTATATCTCTTTTCGTTTCACTCTTTTCGTTGGTCACATTTTTCGACGAATATATTTTCTTTCCTGTTCTCGCTTATGTCTAAAGTGAACTAGTACCTACAAAATATATCGCACAAACATTTTCAGAAGTCACGAAAATACGAATATATCTATTGATTACTGTTCATATTTAATGAGTTTTCTATTTGTCTTTTAAATGAGTAGGTGTCACTAATAGAAAAATTCTTTTTCCTTAACACTTCGATATCGAATATTCAGCGTTCATATACGAGGAATTCGTTCCTCGCTACATTTGAAGGACTAACCAGAATATCAAGGCGTAGAAAACGTATCTCGGTCAACTTTGGATTAAATTTGATATTGATTCATTGATCGTCAGACGTGTAACCATTCAAATTCTTTACAGTTTGTAACGAATTACAATTAAAACTTGGAGAGTCTATGACTTGCAAAATCGCTGGAAACTGATATGTCCACCAATGAAATCAATATCTAAAGAAGATAAATAAGATCTAATTGAAGGTCAACTCAAACACGAAAAGGAATACATAGCAGTAATTAAGACTATTCGAGTAAAATAAGATGGATAGATGCGTAGTTTGTGTGTTTCCTAGCAAGATCTTATGCACCAGTAGGTGTTCTAGTAAAATCTCGAGATGAAATCTGAATCTACCCTTTCGGTGGGATCCGAATATGGAATCAAATCAAAAGGCGTCCATTCAATAGAACTCGACGAGTTCTATCCTGTTATGGCATATTTGATTTTGGGTATAACCTATAGACGAATCCCTGTGGAGACTACTCGAACCTAACTCCGAGATATCCTACGTCTTTTTGAAGACTTTGCTTTTCTTTATATATTGAGGGTGAGTACAAGATTATTGTTGTGGATATCATTGAATAACGTATGATTATGTCCTGTTGAAGTTTCATCTATCATTTATGACCAATAATTAAATGGAAAAGGTGCTGTTCCAAGTGCTACTCATTTTTAAAACAAAACTTGTGTACGTTTTATTGTCATGGAAGGTGTCGGTAGTACGTGGAAATGATACTTGTGGATATCTGAATACTAAGTTACTGTGTCGTGGGTTTTTCTTTCAGTTTTATTGTTACTCGAAAATGAATCGAAATGAAAAATCAAGTATTATATGATATAGTTATATATAGTCCTTTTCTATCCGGGCAAGTGTTAAAAGACCGAAAGGCAAAATCTCGAAAGTTAGAGAAGTAATGATGAATGCTTGATGATTCATCAGTTCTTTGTTTGCGCTGTCCTTTGTATTCCTTTCTGGCCTATACAACCATATATGTATATAAAAGTAAGTGATGTTTACATAAATTCATTTATCGTCAGTGCATAACAAGTTATAGCGTCGTCATATAATGACCTCGATCGAATTTATATCCAATAACAAAGGCAAACATTTGTTAGTACTCGATATGTATGTATACCAATTAAACAAGTCAACAATAAAAAAAGTATTGGAAATGTGAAGTCAAATATTGTCCTGCCACAGTACACACTGATGTAAATGATCAGTTTATAAGAAAAGGTGATCAACAACAGACTCATTTATCAGCACCGGAATATGTTCAAGTACATCAATTAAAAGGAAGGGTGAAAGATCGTGTAATACAAGAAAATATTCCTATCGCAAAAAATTTATGACGATGAATTAGCACGATTTCAACTTAGGGTGTGAGGGTGTGGGTGTGGGTGGGTGTGGGTGAAAGGTCTTTCCTTCGCTTCACCCGCTGACCCACCCCTTGACATACATCACTCTCATCCCTCACCCACACACCCTCACAGTTGAATGAAAACTTGACATCTAGATAAGTTCAAAATTGAAAAAGACAGTAAAGTAGTTTATTGCTTTTTCATGAAACAACGCTGAGAAATGAAAAAGTGACAATGCAAACAGATGGCCCAAAACATTCAGTAAGCACAACAAAACCGAAATACTCAGATGAAGAAGTCAGACATAAGATCTCATAACACCAGGCGATATCGAAACAGAAATCATCCTCTCAGACAATTTACATCAATTCTCATTAGAAGATTCTGACAAGATTTTAAGAATGTACGCGATTTTTTATCATTTTATAATCAGATCTTACAATACAAAAGGGTTTTTCAAGCATCGTGTAGTAAGAATTAATGTAAGACTTCTGAAACTACAATGTGTGAACGAGTTTTCATGTGATCTTGAAAAAATCGTGCGAGATCAGATACAGAATCTGGTCTGATCGTCGATGTCTTATTGCTTGTGCAGAGTGATTCTTTGTGTCTAATTGCTTTTCATTAATCATGATCAAACTGCACTATTGTATGGATTGCTGATCGCTTGCGATGAAGTGTTAGAATAGTGTCAGACTGCTGGTTTGACATTGGATTAACAATTTCATTAGCGAATATCAGAGGTGTGTCATTGCTAACATTAACCTGAGTGCGATTTTTCCATGAGAAATATTTTTTAATATGAATAATAATCATTCGAGACAGAGGAATGATCAGCAATTTCATGATAAGAAATATTAAGCCAAAAATTTCCAAGACAAGAATGGTAAATAAAAGAGTATGAAATATAATTTCTGTTTGTCGAGCAATCGGTTGTTGTGCATTGCTGACATAAAACACAGTTTCTTCAATATTAACAGTTATATTTGTTTGTATCCGTTGAAAAAATGTATATCGAGTTTCAGTAGCAAATAGTTCATCAATTTTGACATTGAAAGATGATGACCATATGGCGCTGAATGTTGACATTCCATCGGTAGACAACGGAGCTGTTTGGTTGACAATTGGAGTTAGCTGAAGATCGAAGAAAGTTGACGGTGCCAGAACTTCTTTAAGTGAGGAAGGAACGAATGTTGACGCGAAGTTGAGCGCGAGAAGGGTGTACCTTTTCGAAATAATCAAAATTTCATTACGAAACTGTTTAAGTTCTTTAAATGATACGAGCGAGCTAGTTATCGGTTGAATTAGAACAAGAAAACTAGTATCAGAAGTATTGCCTCTTTCAAGCCAAAAAGTGGAAAGAAAAGGGCAAAAGATGAGAAAATTGTGGAAAGTCAATTTTATGAGATTTTCAGAACATTCTCTGTTCAAATAACATGTTATTTCTTTCATTGACACCTTTTTTTCAAAAATCCAAAGTACAAACAGCCACGCATGAAAACATGGATATTTCATTAAATACGTTGCTTTTTCAATTCAGTTACCTGTATTTTTCAGTGATATTCATTTTGAAATCATAGCACTGAAAGCATAGTCATGTGAAAGTGAAATTTTTCAGTTGAACTTTATTGCTAAGTAATTTAATCAATTGGTATTCGATTACAAAAATTATTGACCATACGTATCGTGATTGAAGAGATTCTTGCCGAGATGGTGCTCTTTTTGTGGAACCTACAGCAGAATGAATCGTGTACGCAATAAAAGATAACTGTCACTAAATCATGATTATCACTCTAAAGGATAGGCTTTTATCGAACCTATGCACAGAGGAGAATCTTTTTGGATTCCTTGAGACAATACGCAATTTAGAAAAGATAGGATATTTTTCTGCAGAATCAGAAAAGGTTCCGTATTTTCATTTGGAAGCCAGAAGGTTCTTTCCCAGGACAATAGGATCGGTGGAAAAAGCTTATATTGTTTTAGTGATCGCAATTATTTTTATTGCACAATATTAAAATAACAGTTAAGCAAAACCAGACTGGAGCACGTTTTTGTTTTTCAATTAATTAGGATCAACCAAATAAGAGCTGTTTGAAATTGGTTTGTTCCTGTGGCAAGTCTTTCATGGAGGTTATCGAAAAGTAACTGAACTGATTTTGTCATTGCGGATTTTTTTTCTTAGTTGATACTGAAAAACCCACTTGAGTCTAAATATGTCTGAACTGAACATGTTCAGATTGGATAAGTTGTATCAAACATAAAATATTCCGATATTGTTTCGATAGATGTTTAGAAAATCGTGGATGATAGATTTGCCAATATAGTAGAAAAGATGATCATCATGATTTGTATTACTGTCATCTTCAATATGTTTTGATTTTTTTTCTTCGACATACTCCGTCAAAACCATGCGAAGCCACTTCGGAGCACACTATAACTTTTTATTAATAATCCTTTTAAAGAATAGAATCTATATGCTTCCTAAGCTATTGTTTCTATGGATTTCATGAAATCTATAATGTTTTGAAGACTCAATCAATATCACACCATACAGCATCACAATAGGTTGCAACTCCTAATGGGCAACTTTGGAATACGAAAAGAAAGTTGAAGTCGAAAGGGTCGATACCAAACTTGAGTTCGATTTTAGTTGTCTTCATTGGACTCAACGCTATGTACACTAAACTTCAAAGATATATCAGTTTCTAGAAAACCTATTAAAACATATAGTCAATAAAAGTGCAAAGATTCTGATATTCAATGGAACCATTGTAGGAAAATCAATCGATGCTGAAATTGCTTCGAATTTCGTTTACATATTGATCTCTGCATTAGCACAATCAAAGTAATGCTTATAGATCTCATCATACAACTTTTTTAAGCAAATAGTACACTTGGGTTTCGAAAAAAAAACATTGAGATACTTTTTCATCATTATGTTACACACCATATGAAAGTAGAAAAAATGGAAAACGTTCATAAGCAAAGGGACTGCATCATGCTTCACATTTTGGAAGCCCGCAGACATTCTACTGAAAGTTTTCTTGATTGATTCTAGGAAGTGCTCCACCTTACCTGCCATCTTCATTAACTGCCGATGGTCCAAATAATCCCATACGAATAGCTCCAACTGTTCGTAAACCAGGCAACATAAGTTGAATACTAATAACATGGGCTGGAAGCGGAATAGTCAAAGAGACAATACTACCATTATACTTTGTTTCACATTTTGAAATTGATATTGGAAGGAGTGCATAATCGATAAGATGGTAAACAAGAAGCGAGTCTTGACACGTGAATGCTGTTTGGATAAGATCAATCTTGAGTTCAAACGGTTGCGAGTTTAATAAGTCAAATATGGCTTGATTTTGTTTTGTTGAACGACTGGAACCTGGCATTTTTTGCATTGTTGTGCTGAATTTTGCATTGTGCAGCGTATCATCACATGCAAACGATTGTGTGCTAGTGATATTCTCTATTGGGTATTGACTTAAGAAAGCATTTGAAAACGAATAAGCCGAAACAAGAAGAACAATGATGCTAATGGAGATTAAACCACCAATCCAAAACTATTCGGCAACATATAAAATCAGAATTAGATATAGATTTCACGAGATGTGATTAGTAGTGTGAAGACATTTATTCACAAACTCTTCTCCTCCTATCTCACATCATTGATCGAAGCAAGCTCACTGACATGTTTTTCTGCCGACAATATTATATACAAAACCAGACTTAACAAGATCTTTCGTCTGCAACTAAAGTGGGTCTACCATACACTACAGTATGATACATATTTTGTGATAAAATTTCACTTTGTAGCAAACCTTCGAAATTAAGAATTCAAATCTTCGAAAGCTATCAATCATTTAAAATAGAAAAAACCAACATCATTTACCTCTCCTTCACCGATAAGATCTAATTTTCGTAATATTTGCCGAAATTGATTGTATCTTCTCTGTCCATGAGGATAATTTATCTCACAAATTACTATAAAAGTGGCCACTATAATTCCGAATGTAAGGACTGCAAGAACCCGTGTCATTGGTGATACACGTATACAATAAGCCGAACGTGTATTCAAACTAAACATATTTAGCATAAGTAAATCATCAAATACAGTATTTTCGGGAGATTCAGGATAATCTTGATGTTGATCAATCGATTTAAACATTGAATAAGATAGGTCCTGAATACTTCCATATGGACAAAAGGAGTCGTTTCCTGTGCAAGGCTCACATCTGCTGGAGAACGTGCCATTGGGACATGGAGTACATAAGTCGAGCCCAGAATAATTTCGATAAGTGCCAGAAAAACAAGGGACAGACAATGACATGTACAATGCTGTCCGAGTGTAAGGATACATACCTGCAGGTGCCGAAAACAAAACACCTCCATTTCCCAGATTATCAAAAATAGCCACATAACCGGACTTTGAACAAATGAGTCGAATTAATACGATATTCATGACTTGAAACAAGATTTGTTCACTATTGGGATAAATAAGAACCGGTTGTGTTTCATCTGTAAAACCATCAGATTCGATATCATATATATGGACGACTGACGATATCCATTGCTGGGTCCCATACACATAATTATTAACAAGAATGACTGCCTTGCGGCCTTGATCATCCAACCATGCAACACTTTTTCCAAAACCACTCAATCCGACTCCATTTTGGCGAGTGCTTATCGGGATAGATACATTGTCAAATGCGTACAATAAAACAATATTGAGAGATTGGATTCCAATTAGTATCTGTCGAGTATGCCAGGCGATGCTCACTGACATAATTGTATCTGTTGAGTAAACGCGACTTTGTGTAACGAGATGATTGATGCGTGGATCTGACCAACTAAAATTCAACTGACTTTTAATTGAAATATCATTCATACGACTAGGAATCGACGAGGATTCGTGCAAAGCTAATATAGTACCGCATTCGATTGCAACCGATAGTGTTATTTGGCAATAGCCGACTAAAACGGCATATTCCACATTTGAACCGATGTCGATAGCTCGAGGTGAAATATTAAAAGTATTTGGCCATACAGTCAATCGAAATGGTGATTGTAATGCATAGAAAAATACGAAATCGTCGGCAAATCCGTACACACCCATACCATTGCCATTGATCGCAAGGACAAAGTTATCTTGTGTTGTATAGTTCGATATGATTTGTTCATCGATTAATCGATGATTGCATGTAGCGTTGCAATCAAAAAAGCCGATCACATTGTTTCCTTGAAGATCAATACAATTGTAGACAAACAATGTGCTATTGATAATAGGAACGACAGTACTATACACAAAATCACATGTTGTCTCATTGTAACTGGCAAAGCAAAAGTTTGTATTATTTGGTGAAATTTCAAAAATGTACCACCAACCAAGATAAACGTTATCTGCTGTGACCATCATACAGTCGTTTGTAGCTATTTTGATTCCATATAGATCATAGTCAATTGCTACTTTGGTATATAATAATGCATGATCAGTAAGAACAACCGTCATCAGCATTAGCTTTACGACAAAAGACATATTTGAATACTCTAGAAAAGACAATAAAGCTATATTAATACATTAGAAAGAAACGGTAATCAGTAGTAGTCAATGGAGCAAAGCGTGTTCCATCTATCTCTGATTCGGTGAGGATCTAATGAACCTCGAATTCCTATGATCCGCTTTTTCTTCTTGAATAGTAATAGTAATAGAAGACAAATGAATTTCAGACAGAGAAATAAACACTTTCAGGCATGTACTAAACGCGGACGCATTGCATTTTTTGGAAGATATCAATACTTGATTTAGTATTGAGTATCACATTTTGGAATTTTCATTATTCGACTGATTTTGAGTTTGACAATTTAGATCAAAAGTTATGGGGATTCTCTGATCATTGCCTAGCAAATATGATGAATTCATCTAACGTAAAACTCACAATCTGAACTCTAAAGCTCAAGCAAATCATCAAACTTTAATAGCTAAAACTTTTGAATCGGGTTTTAATCTCTTTATATGCAAATAAATTTTTCTGATATGAGAAGAAACAAAAGAAACTAATAAATGCAATTGAAGTATAATGGAAAAAATACAAAGAATGTGATGCTTTTGAAGTGAGTATAATGTCAAAGTGTGCAAAAGAGTCATTTTAATTATATGATTTTTTTCGATTTCCTGAAAAGTGACACTCTCATTTGATATGGTCGTTCTTTTCATTGCCGTCTTCTTTCTCTTCTCCGTTGAGGTATAGTCAGTAATTACTGAATACAATTAGAGTGTTAATATCAGCAAATGAATGCATTGCCCAGCGTAGAAACTTTGCTGTTCTTCCAGTTTTCCGTACAGAAAAGAGAAACACGTATCACAATAATGAGATTGTATGCAGAGTAAAATAATGAATAAGTTATAAATAATGATATTGTCTCCATTTTTACACATTTTTCTCTTTGTCATCGTGAATGAGTATTATTTTTCTTGTAAACGGAATCGTCGCACAATTATCATAATAGTTTTTAACATTTCATTTTTAAATTCTAGTGAATTTATATGGTGACGTTACGACAACGATATTATCGCCATCAAATACAGCAATCGACAATTGTAGTTCTTTTACATATTTGGCTCACTTCTCTTCTAGTTTTCTTTCATTCGTTGTTTTTCTCTCTAATTCATTTTCATAGTGACACCAGGAAAACAATAACACTCGAAGTAATCAATTACTTGTCTTCATTCGCTCAGCCATCGCAATGAATCAAAAGAGGAGAAAAAGTACTCCTTTATGTGAAAAAGAATATTTGTTCATGGTAATGTTGAATGAAGATAACGCTATTGTCGAAATGCCTTTTTTCACATAACCCGAAGGGTGGGTGTGGGTGTCGGTGAAGATTCAAAAAAATTGAATCGAATAGACAAAGTGAGAAACAAATATTGTATTTTCCTGTACTGGATTACAGTAGCTTTATAACGAGTGCTTTGAAAATCAGCAAGGTTCAGTTCAGCTACAGTTTTCTGTATTTTTCAACTATGCTCTATTTTCTCTTATACAAACTATCATAACTTTGACAATGTCAGATGCAATGATACACCTCTCGAGAATCAATACCGATTGATGAAACATCTCGGAAGTTTCGAAGACCTACATGGCGAGTATTGCTTAAATACTTTAACCTGCACATGTGTGTATATGCGGCATAATTGTGAATATCTGTTTTTCCCCGGACCGTAGAGAGGGTCGAATGAAAAATACATAGTTTACCCGTTTGCTTGTTGCATGATCAAAAAAAGGAATCCACGGTGAAATTTTGATAGAAATTCACAAAAGTAAATCCAGGTCAGAAAATCAGAATCTGCAGTCGGTTTCTCAAAATATTGAATTGATTTTTGTAGCTTGGGTGTGGGTGTGGAAGTGTTACTAAATTCTATATTAAATAGATTGATAGCGAACTTACAACGCGTTTCGACTTTTGCTGAGATAGCCCTCATCAGCTAAGTTTAGAATCTATTGACTACATAATTTTTGTGTACTCAAAAAGTGAGTACACTCTGTAATCGGTCAGTGTGTCGGTCCTACCGTTTACATGATAAATTTCGAAAGGAGAGTTGGATCGCGAAGAAATTTTCTACACAACTTTATCTCATCAATATCTCGGTCGAGTTCGAAGATAAGAATGATTAGTTCAACCATTGGTGAGTTTTCGCAAAAAGATTAATCTTCTCCCATGGTTTTCCATGCAAATATTAACTCATGCCAATTTTCGTAAAAGAATTTTCCTTGGATGATCAAACAAAATCCCAATTATTATATACCACTCGATAGAGAATTTCACAAGCTACAAAATGGTATATAAAGCATTAAAAATTTGAACTCAATGTTTGGACCAAAAAAAGGGTTTTTTGAGAAAATGGCGATATTTTATAAAGGTTGACGAAAGCAAATCGGGTCGAGGTATCCGAATCTGAAGCCAGATTTTGAAAATTCTGAAGAAAATTTTTCGAGTTAAGGAATCACTTTTTCACTTTTGAAGTATACATAACACTCGGATTAAAATCCGATGTTTCCACATTTTATTTTCATCTGAGATAAAATAACTGCGAGTAAAGAAACTTTAAGTTTAAAACGCCATCTTAACTTTTCAATAACTTCTTGCATCAATATGTCGTTCTTTCATTATTCGAACAATTACTGCCTGCAAAAAATGACATAGTTAATAAATCGTAGAGTTCATCATTTCCTACTTGAATAGTTAATTTACAATCTTTATCAATTAATTCATTTCAATCGTTAATTTCTTTTGTGAGTTTAAATTTAATTTGACATTTAGATTTACTCGAAATTCTTCACAAAAACAAAAGCAAAAAGAATTTTGAATATAAACAAATTTATCTTGTAAAATCTTTCAA